ATTTGCCTTCATGATACATTACATTTGTTATTCATCCAAATTGTAGAATATACATGTGAAATACCAACATCAGAAGTTGCATCAACCACTCTACCAACAGTTACCTCCCAAGAAACATTTGAAACAACTGAACAGTCTAGATCTTCTGAAGCAAGTCTTACCACAATAGAAACAGTCACACAGGAAACAGATTACCTTTCATCAACTTTGGATTCTGGTACTGGGCTAACACAAACATCTGAATATGCAACAACTACTATTGGAACTGTTGCTTCCACTGATTTGCCAACAGCTCCTTTCTCAACAGGTAAATACGTTTTTTTCCATTCAGATGTTGGGTTTTATTTTCTTTTGCAAAATAACATCAACAGTCTGTTTAGCTACTCTTATCACACTAACATTTACATTGACTTCATACATACAATACAAGTCTTCCTCAATTCCAACAATTTCCATCAACATATATATTGTTCTCATTATTGTTTTCTCCTTCTAATTTACATGATCCCAACTCAATACATGTTAGTGATGAATCTATATGATCATGTTTCCCAGATTTTCTTTCAAACATGAAAAATAAGCCTTATCATTTTCTATGAATATGTCAGTTCGACATGACTTTTTAACAAGTGTGTTACATATATACATGTGAAGATTCCTAGCAATCCGCAACCAAAAAAATCCATGAGCTATTTCCTGTTTCTGGCTGAAGCAATTTGACTTTGCACTTCATGATACATTACATTATGTGTATTCATCCAAATTGTAGAATATACATCTGAAGTACCAACATCAGAAGTTGCATCAAGCACTCTACCAACAGTTACCTCCCAAGAAACATTTGAAACAACCGAACAGTCTAGATCTTCTGAAGCAAGTATTACCACAATAGAAACAGTCACACAGGAAACAGATTACCTTTCATCCACTTTGGATTCTGGTACTGGGATAACGCAAACATCTGAATTTGCAGCATCCACTATTGAAACTGTTGCCTCTACTGATTTGCCAACAGCTCCTTTCTCAACAGGTAAACAAGTTTTTCCATGCAGATGTTTGGTTTTATTTTCTTTTGCAAAATAACATCAACAGTCTGTTTACCTACTCTTAGCACACTGACATTTACATTGACTTCATACATACAATACAAGTGTTTCTCAATTGCAACAATTTCCATCAACATATATTTTGTTTTCATTATTGTTTTCTCCTTCTAATTTACATGATCCCAACTCAATACATGTTAGTGATGAATCTATATGATCATTTTTCTCTGATATTGTTTCAAACATGAAAAATAAGCCTTATCATTTTCTATGAATATGTCAGTTCGACATGACTTTTTATCAAGTCTGGTACATATATAGATGTGAAGATTTCTTGCATTCATCAACAAATAATTCCATGAGTTGTTTCCTGATTCTGGCTGAAGCAATTTGATATTCCCCTTCATGATACATTACATTATGTTTATTCATCCAAATTGTAGAACATACATCTGAAATACCAACATCAGAAGTTGCATCAACCACTCTACCAACAGTTACCTCCCAAGAAACATTTGAAACAACTGAACAGTCTAGATCTTCTGAAGCAAGTATTACCACAATAGAAACAGTCACACAGGAAACAGATTACCGTTCATCCACTTTGGATTCTGGTACTGGGATAACACAAACATCTGCATATGCAACATCCACTATTGAAACTGTTACCTCTACTGATTTGCCAACAGCTCCTATCTCAACAGGTGAATATGTTTTTCCATGCAGATGTTTGGTCGTATTGTCTTTTGCAAAACAACATCAACAGTCTGTTTATCTACTCTTAGTACACTGACATTTACATTGACTTCATACATACAATACAAGTGTTCCTCAATTGCAACAATTTCCAGCAACATATATTTTGTTCTCATTATTGTTTTCTCCATCTAATTTACATGATTCCAACTCAATACATGTTAGTGATGAATTTATATGATCATTGTTCTCTGATATTGTTTCAAACATGAAAAATAAGCCTTATCATTTTCTATGAATATGTCAGTTCGACATGACTTTTTATCAAGTCTGGTACATATATAGATGTGAAGATTTCTTGCATTCATCAACAAATAATTGCATGAGCTCTTTCTCAATTCTGGCGGAGGCAATTTGATTTTGCCCTTCATGATACATTACATTATGTTTATTCATCCAAATTGTAGAAAATACATCTGAAATACCAATATCAGAAGTTGCATCAACCACTCTACCAACAGTTACCTCCCAAGAAACATTTGAAACAACCGAACAGTCTAGATCTTCTGAAGCAAGTATTACCACAATAGAAACAGTCACACAGGAAACAGATTACCTTTCATTCACTTTGGAACCTGGTACTGGGATAACGCAAACATCTGAATATGCTACAACCACTATTGAAAGTGTTGCCTCTACTGATTTGCCAACAGCTCCTTTCTCAACAGGTAAATAAGTTTGTCCATACAGTTGTTTGGTCGTATTGTCTTTTGCAAAAAAGCATCAACAGTCTGTTAATCTACTCTTAGCACACTGACATTTACATTGACTTCATACATACAATACAAGTGTTTCTCAATTGCAACAATTTCCATCAACAAATATTTTGTTCTCATTATTGTTTTCTCCTTCTAATTTACATGATCCCAACTCAATACATGTTAGTGATGAATCTATATGATCATTTTTCTCTGATATTGTTTCAAACATGAAAAATAAGCCTTATCATTTTCTATGAATATGTCAGTTCGACATGACTTTTTATCAAGTCTGGTACATTTATAGATGTGAAGATTTCTTGCATTCATCAACAAATAATTCCATGAGCTGTTTCCTGATTCTGGCTGAAGCAATTTGATTTTCCCCTTCATGATACATTACATTATGTTTATTCATCCAAATTGTAGAATATACATCTGAAATACCAACATCAGAAGTTGCATCAACCACTCTACCAACAGTTACCTCCCAAGAAACATTTGAAACAATCGAACAGTCTAGATCTTCTGAAGCAAGTATTACCACAATAGAAACAGGCACACAGGAAACAGATTACCTTTCATCCACTTTGGATTCTGGTACTGGGATAACACAAACATCTGAATATGCAACATCCACTATTGAAACTGTTACCTCTACTGATTTGCCAACAGCTCCTATCTCAACAGGTGAATATGTTTTTCCATGCAGATGTTTGATTTTATTTTATTTTGCAAAATAACATCAACAGTCTGTTTATCTACTGTTAGTACACTGACATTTACATTGACTTCATACATACAATACAAGTGTTCCTCAATTGCAACAATTTCCAGCAACATATATTTTGTTCTCATTTTTGTTTTCTCCATCTAATTTACATGATTCCAACTCAATACATGTTAGTGATGAATTTATATGATCATTGTTCTAATATTGTTTCAAACATGAAAAATAAGCCTTATCATTTTCTATGAATATGTCAGTTCGACATGACTTTTTATCAAGTCTGGTACATATATAGATGTGAAGATTTCTTGTATTCATCAACAAATAATTGCATGAGCTGTTTCTCAATTCTGGCGGAGGCAATTTGACTTTGCCCTTCATGATACATTACATTATGGTTATTCATCCAAATTGTAGAATATACATCTGAAGTACCAACATCAGAAGTTGCATCAACCACTCTACCAACAGTTACCTCCCAAGAAACATTTGAAACAACCGAACAGTCTAGATCTTCTGAAGCAAGTATTACCACAATAGAAACAGTCACACAGGAAACAGATTACCTTTCATCCACTTTGGATTCTGGTACTGGGATAACACAAACATTCACTATTGAAACTGTTGCCTCTACTGATTTGCCAACAACTCCTTTCTCAACAGGTAAATAAGTTTTTCCATGCAGATGTTTGGTTTTATTTTCTTTTGCAAAATAACATCAACAGTCTGTTTACCTACTCTTAGCACACTGACATTTACATTGACTTCATACATACAATACAAGTGTTCCTCAATTGCAATTCCTCATTTTTGCCAGATTTTCTTTCAAACATGAGAAATAAGCCTTATCATTTTCTATGAATATGTCAGTTCGACATGACTTTTTATCAAGTGTGTTATATTTATACATGTGAAGATTCCTAGCAATCCGCAACCAAAAAATCCATGATCTATTTCCTGATTCTGGCTGAAGCAATTTTACTTTGCCCTTCATGATACATTACATTATGTTTATTCATCCAAATTGTAGAATATACATCTGAAATACCAACATCAGAAGTTGCATCGACCACTTTACAAACAGTTACCTCGGAAAGAACATTTGAAACAACAGAACAGTCTAGATCTTCTGAAGCAACTATTACCACAATAGAGACAGTCACACAGGAAACAGATTACATTTCATCCACTTTGGATTCTGGTACGGGGCTAACGCAAACATCTGAACATGCAACATCCACTATTGAAACTGATGACTCTACTGATTTGTCAACAGCTCCTTTCTCAACAGGTAAATAAGTTTTTCCATGCAGATGTTTGGTTTTATTTTCTTTTGCAAAATAACACCAACAGTCTGTTTACCTACTCTTAGCACACTGACATTTACATTGACTTCATACATACAATACAAGTGTTCCTCAATTGCAACAATTTCCAGCAACATATATTTTGTTCTCATTATTGTTTTCTCCATCTAATTTACATGATGCTAACTCAATACATGTTAGTGATGAATCTATATGATCATTTTTCTCTGATTTTGTTTCAAACATGAAAAATAAGCCTTATCATTTTCTATGAATATGTCAGTTCGACATGATTTTCATCAAGTGTGTTACATATATACATGTGAAGATTCCTAGCAATCCGCAACCAACAAATCCATGAGCTATTTCCTGTTTCTGGCTGAAGCAATTTGACTTTGCCCTTCATGATACATTACATTATGTTTATTCATCCAAATTGTAGAATATACATCCGAAATACCAACATCAGAAGTTGCATCAACCACTCTACCAACAGTTACCTCCCAAGAAACATTTGAAACAACCGAACAGTCTAGATCTTTTGAAACAAGTATTACCACAATAGAAACAGGCACACAGGAAACAGATTACCTTTCATCCACTTTGGATTCTGGTACTGGGATAACACAAACATCTGAATATGCAACATCCACTATTGAAACTGTTACCTCTACTGATTTGCCAACAGCTCCTATCTCAACAGGTGAATATGTTTTTCCATGCAGATGTTTGATTTTATTTTATTTTGCAAAATAACATCAACAGTCTGTTTATCTACTGTTAGTACACTGACATTTACATTGACTTCATACATACAATACAAGTGTTCCTCAATTGCAACAATTTCCATCAACATATTTTGTTCTCATTATTGTTTTCTCCTTCTAATTTACATGATCCCAACTCAATACATGTTAGTGATGAATCTATATGATCATTTTCCCAGTTTTTCTTTCAAACATGAAAAATAAGCCTTATCATTTTCTATGAATATGTCAGCTCAACATGACTATTTTTCAAGTCTGGTACATATATACTTGTGAAGATTCCTAGCAATCCGCAACCAACAAATCCATGAGCTATTTCCTGTTTCAAATTACCTTTCATCCACTTTGGATTCTGGTACTGGGCTAACACAAACATCTGAATATGCAACATCCACTATTGAAACTGTTACCTCTACTGATTTGCCAACAGCTCCTTTCTCAACAGGTAAATACGTTTTTCCATGCAGATGTTGGGTTTTATTTTCTTTTGCAAAATAACATCAACAGTCTGTTTACCTACTCTTAGCACACTGACATTTACATTGACTTCATACATACAATACAAGTGTTCCTCAATTGCAATTCCTCATTTTTGCCAGATTTTCTTTCAAATATGAGAAATAAGCCGTTTCATTTTCTATGAATATGTCAGTTCGACATGACTTTTTATCAAGTGTGTTATATTTATACATGTGAAGATTCCTAGCAATCCGCGACCAAAAAATCCATGAGCTATTTCCTGATTCTGGCTGAAGCAATTTTACTTTGCCCTTCATGATACATTACATTATGTGTATTCATCCAAATTGTAGAATATACATCTGAAATACCAACATCAGAAGTTGCATCGACCACTTTACCAACAGTTACCTCGGAAAAAACATTTGAAACAACAGAACAGTCTAGATCTTCTGAAGCAACTATTACCACAATAGAGACAGTCACACAGGAAACAGATTACATTTCATCCACTTTGGATTCTGGTACTGGGCTAACGCAAACATCTGAACATGCAACATCCACTATTGAAACTGTTGACTCTACTGATTTGTCAACAGCTCCTTTCTCAACAGGTAAATAAGTTTTTCCATGCAGATGTTTGGTTTTATTTTCTTTTGCAAAATAACACCAACAGTCTGTTTACCTACTCTTAGCACACTGACATTTACATTGACTTCATACATACAATACAAGTGTTCCTCAATTGCAACAATTTCCAGCAACATATATTTTGTTCTCATTATTGTTTTCTCCATCTAATTTACATGATGCTAACTCAATACATGTTAGTGATGAATCTATATGATCATTTTTCTCTGATTTTGTTTCAAACATGAAAAATAAGCCTTATCATTTTCTATGAATATGTCAGTTCGACATGATTTTCATCAAGTGTGTTACATATATACATGTGAAGATTCCTAGCAATCCACAACCAACAAATCCATGAGCTATTTCCTGTTTCTGGCTGAAGCAATTTGACTTTGCCCTTCATGATACATTACATTATGTTTATTCATCCAAATTGTAGAATATACATCCGAAATACCAACATCAGAAGTTGCATCAACCACTCTACCAACAGTTACCTCCCAAGAAACATTTGAAACAACCGAACAGTCTAGATCTTTTGAAACAAGTATTATAACAATAGAAACAGTCACACAGGAAACAGATTACCTTTCATCCACTTTGGATTCTGGTACTGGGATAACACAAACATCTGAATATGCAACATCCACTATTGAAACTGTTACCTCTACTGATTTGCCAACAGCTCCTATCTCAACAGGTGAATAAGTTTTTCCATGCAGATGTTTGGTTGTATTGTCTTTTGCAAAACAACATCAACAGTCTGTTTATCTACTCTTAGCTCACTGACATTTACATTGACTTCATACATACAATACAAGTGTTTCTCAATTGCAACAATTTCCATCAACATATTTTGTTCTCGTTATTGTTTTCTCCTTCTAATTTACATGATCCCAACTCAATACATGTTAGTGATGAATCTATATGATCATTTTCCCAGTTTTTCTTTCAAACATGAAAAATAAGCCTTATCATTTTCTATGAATATGTCAGCTCAACATGACTATTTTTCAAGTCTGGTACATATATACATGTGAAGATTCCTAGCAATCCGCAACCAACAAATCCATGAGCTATTTCCTGTTTCTGTCTGAAGAAATTTGACTTTGCCCTTCATGATACATTACATTATGTTTATTCATCCAATTTGTAGAATATACATCCGAAATACCAACATCAGAAGTTGCATCAACCACTCTACCAACAGTTACCTCCCAAGAAACATTTGAAACAACCGAACAGTCTAGATCTTTTGAAACAAGTATTACCACAATAGAAACAGTCACACAGGAAACAGATTACCTTTCATCCACTTTGGATTCTGGTACTGGGATAACACAAACATCTGAATATGCAACATCCACTATTGAAACTGTTACCTCTACTGATTTGCCAACAGCTCCTATCTCAACAGGTGAATACGTTTTTCCATGCAGTTGTTTGGTTGTATTGTCTTTTGCAAAACAACATCAACAGTCTGTTTATCTACTCTTAGCACACTGACATTTACATTGACTTCATATATACAATACAAGTGTTTCTCAATTGCAACAATTTCCATCAACATATTTTGTTCTCATTATTGTTTTCTCCTTCTAATTTACATGATCCCAACTCAATACATGTTAGTGATGAATCTATATGATCATTTTTCCCAGTTTTTCATTCAAACATGAAAAATAAGCCTTATCATTTTCTATGAATATGTCAGCTGAACATGACTATTTTTCAAGTCTGGTACCTATATACATGTGACGATTCCTAGCAATCCGCAACCCAAAAAATCCATGAGCTATTTCCTGTTTCTGGCTGAAGCAATTTGACTTTGCCCTTCATGATACATTACATTATGTTTATTCATCCAAATTGTAGAATATACATCCGAAATACCAACATCAGAAGTTGCATCAACCACTCTACCAACAGTTACCTCCCAAGAAACATTTGAAACAACCGAACAGTCTAGATCTTTTGAAACAAGTATTATAACAATAGAAACAGTCACACAGGAAACAGATTACCTTTCATCCACTTTGGATTCTGGTACTGGGATAACACAAACATCTGAATATGCAACATCCACTATTGAAACTGTTACCTCTACTGATTTGCCAACAGCTCCTATCTCAACAGGTGAATAAGTTTTTCCATGCAGATGTTTGGTTGTATTGTCTTTTGCAAAACAACATCAACAGTCTGTTTATCTACTCTTAGCTCACTGACATTTACATTGACTTCATACATACCATACAAGTGTTTCTCAATTGCAACAATTTCCATCAACATATTTTGTTCTCACTATTGTGTTCTCCTTCTAAATTTACATGATCCCAACTCAATACATGTTAGTGATGAATCTATATGATCATTTTCCCAGTTTTTTCTTTCAACATGAAAAATAAGCCTTATCATTTTCTATGAATATGTCAGTTCGACATGACTTTTTATCGAGTCTGGTACATATATAGATGTGAAGATTCCTTGCATTCATCAACAAATAATTGCATGAGCTGTTTCTCAATTCTGGCGGAGGCAATTTGACTTTGCCCTTCATGATACATTACCATTATGTTTATTCATCCAAATTGTAGAATATACATCTGAAATACCAACATCAGAAGTTGCATCGACCACTTTACCAACAGTTACCTCGGAAAAAACATTTGAAACAACCGAACAGTCTAGATCTTCTGAAGCAAGTATTACCACAATAGAAACAGTCACACAGGAAACAGATTACCTTTCATCCACTTTGGATTCTGGTACTGGGATAACGCAAACATCAGAATATGCAACATCCACTATTGAAACTGTTACCTCTACAGATTTGCCAACAGCTCCTATCTCAACAGGTGAATAACTTTTTCCATGCAGATGTTTGGTTTTATTTTCTTTTGCAAAATAACATCAACAGTCTATTTACATACTCTTAGCACACTGACATTTATATTGACTTCATACATACAATACAAGTGTTCCTCAATTGCAACAATTCCCATCAACATATAGTTTGTTCTCATTATTGTTTTCTCCTTCTAATTTACATGATCCCAACTCAATACATGTTAGTGATGAATCTATATGATCATTTTTCTCTGATTTTGTTTCAAACATGAAAAATAAGCCTTATCATTTTCTATGAATATGTCAGTTCGACATGACTTTTTATCGAGTCTGGTACATATATAGATGTGAAGATTCCTTGCATTCATCAACAAATAATTTGCATGAGCTGTTTCTCAATTCTGTCGGAGGCAATTTGACTTTGCCCTTCATGATACATTACATTATGTTTATTCATCCAAATTGTAGAATATACATCCAAAATACCAACATCAGAAGTTGCATCAACCACTCTACCAACAGTTACCTCCCAAGAAACATTTGAAACAACAGAACACTCTAGATCTTCTGAAGCAACTATTAACACTATAGAGACAGTCACACAGGAAACAGATTACCTTTCATCCACTTTGGATTCTGGTACTGGGCTAACACAAACATCTGAATATGCAACATCCACTATTGAAACTGTTACCTCTACTGATTTGCCAACAGCTCCTTTCTCAACAGGTAAATACGTTTTTCCATGCAGATGTTGGGTTTTATTTTCTTTTGCAAAATAACATCAACAGTCTGTTTACCTACTCTTAGCACACTGACATTTACATTGACTTCATACATACAATACAAGTGTTCCTCAATTGCAATTCCTCATTTTTGCCAGATTTTCTTCAAACATGAGAAATAAGCCGTTTCATTTTCTATGAATATGTCAGTCGACATGACTTTTTATCAAGTGTGTTATATTTATACATGTGAAGATTCCTAGCAATCCGCAACCAAAAAATCCATGAGCTATTCTGATTCTGGCTGAAGCAATTTTACTTTGCCCTTCATGATACATTACATTATGTGTATTCATCCAAATTGTAGAATATACATCTGAAATACCAACATCAGAAGTTGCATCGACCACTTTACCAACAGTTACCTCGGAAAAAACATTTGAAACAACAGAACAGTCTAGATCTTCTGAAGCAACTATTACCACAATAGAGACAGTCACACAGGAAACAGATTACATTTCATCCACTTTGGATTCAGGTACTGGGCTAACGCAAACATCTGAACATGCAACATCCACTATTGAAACTGTTGACTCTACTGATTTGTCAACAGCTCCTTTCTCAACAGGTAAATAAGTTTTTCCATGCAGATGTTTGGTTTTATTTTCTTTTGCAAAATAACACCAACAGTCTGTTTACTTACTCTTAGCACACTGACATTTACATTGACTTCATACATACAATACAAGTGTTCCTCAATTGCAACAAGTTCCAGCAACATATATTTTGTTCTCATTATTGTTTTCTCCATCTAATTTACATGATGCTAACTCAATACATGTTAGTGATGAATCTATATGATCATTTTTCTCTGATTTTGTTTCAAACATGAAAAATAAGCCTTATCATTTTCTATGAATATGTCAGTTCGACATGATTTTCATCAAGTGTGTTACATATATACATGTAAAGATTCCTAGCAATCCGCAAGCAACAAATCCATGAGCTGTTTCCTGATTCTGGCTGAAGCAATTTGACTTTGCCCTTCATGATACATTACATTATGTTTATTCATCCAAATTGTAGAATATACATCCGAAATACCAACATCAGAAGTTGCATCAACCACTCTACCAACAGTTACCTCCCAAGAAACATTTGAAACAACCGAACAGTCTAGATCTTTTGAAACAAGTATTACCACAATAGAAACAGTCACACAGGAAACAGATTACCTTTCATCCACTTTGGATTCTGGTACTGGGATAACACAAACATCTGAATATGCAACATCCACTATTGAAACTGTTACCTCTACTGATTTGCCAACAGCTCCTATCTCAACAGGTGAATACGTTTTTCCATGCAGTTGTTTGGTTGTATTGTCTTTTGCAAAATAACACCAACAGTCTGTTTACTTACTCTTAGCACACTGACATTTACATTGACTTCATACATACAATACAAGTGTTCCTCAATTGCAACAATTTCCAGCAACATATATTATGTTCTCATTATTGTTTTCTCCATCTAATTTACATGATGCTAACTCAATACATGTTAGTGATGAATCTATATGATCATTTTTCTCTGATTTTGTTTCAAACATGAAAAATAAGCCTTATCATTTTCTATGAATATGTCAGTTCGACATGATTTTCATCAAGTGTGTTACATATATACATGTAAAGATTCCTAGCAATCCGCAAGCAACAAATCCATGAGCTGTTTCCTGATTCTGGCTGAAGCAATTTGACTTTGCCCTTCATGATACATTACATTATGTTTATTCATCCAAATTGTAGAATATACATCCGAAATACCAACATCAGAAGTTGCATCAACCACTCTACCAACAGTTACCTCCCAAGAAACATTTGAAACAACTGAACAGTCTAGATCTTTTGAAACAAGTATTACCACAATAGAAACAGTCACACAGGAAACAGATTACCTTTCATCCACTTTGGATTCTGGTACTGGGATAACACAAACATCTGAATATGCAACATCCACTATTGAAACTGTTACCTCTACTGATTTGCCAACAGCTCCTATCTCAACAGGTGAATACGTTTTTCCATGCAGTTGTTTGGTTGTATTGTCTTTTGCAAAACAACATCAACAGTCTGTTTATCTACTCTTAGCACACTGAAATTTACATTGACTTCATAATACAATACAAGTGTTTCTCAATTGCAACAATTTCCATCAACATATTTTGTTCTCATTATTGTTTTCTCCTTCTAATTTACATGATGCCAAAATCAGTACATGTTAGTGATGAATCTATATGATCATTTTTCTCTGATTTTGTTTCACACATGAAAAATAAGCCTCATCATTTTCTATGAATATGTCAGTTCGACATGATTTTTATCAAGTGTGTAACATATATACATGTGAAGATTCCTAGCTATCCGCAACCAACAAATCCATGAGCTATTTCCTGTTTCTGGCTGAAGCAATTTGACTTTGCCCTTCATGATACATTACATTATGTTTATTCATCCAAATTGTAGAATATACATCCGAAATACCAACATCAGAAGTTGCATCAAGCACTCTACCAACAGTTACCTCCCAAGAAACATTTGAAACAACTGAACAGTCTAGATCTTCTGAAGCAAGTATTACCACAATAGAAACAGTCACACAGGAAACAGATTACCTTTCATCCACTTTGGATTCTGGTACTGGGATAACGCAAACATCTGAATATGCAACATCCACTATTGAAACTGTTGCCTCTACTGATTTGCCAACAGCTCCTTTATCAACAGGTAAATAAGTTTTTCCATGCAGATGTTGGGTTTTATTTTCTTTAGCAAAATAACATCAACAGTCTGTTCTCCCACTCTTAGCACACTGACATTTACATTGACTTCATACATACAATACAAGTGTTCCTCAATTGCAACAATTTCCATCAACATATATTTTGTTTTCATTATTGTTTTCTCCATCTAATTTACATGATGCCAAATCAGTACATGTTAGTGATGAATCTATATGATCATTTTTCTCTGATTTTGTTTCACACATGAAAAATAAGCCTCATCATTTTCTATGAATATGTCAGTTCGACATGATTTTTATCAAGTGTGTTACATATATACATGTGAAGATTCCTAACTATCCGCAACCAACAATTCCATGAGCTGTTTCCTGATTCTGGCTGAAGCAATTTGACTTTGCCCTTCATGATACATTTCATTATGTTTATTCATCCAAATTGTAGAATATACATCCGAAATACCAATATCAGAAGTTGCATCAAGCACTCTACCAACAGTTAACTCCCAAGAAACATTTGAAACAACCGAACAGTTTAGATCTTCTGAAGCAAGTATTACCACAATAGAAACAGTCACACAGGAAACAGATTACCTTTCATTCACTTTGGATTCTGGTAGTGGGATAACACAAACATCTGAATATGCTACAACCACTATTGAAACTGTTGCCTCTACTGATTTGCCAACAGCTCCTTTCTCAACAGGTAAATAAGTTTTTCCATGCAGATGTTTGGTTTTATTTTCTTTTGCAAAACAACACCAACAGTCTGTTTACCTACTCGTAGCACACTGACATTTACATTGACTTCATACATACAATACAAGTGTTCCTCAATTTCAACAATTTCCATCAACATATAGTTTGTTCTCATTATTGTTTTCTCCTTCTAATTTACATGATCCCAACTCAATACATGTTAGTGATGAATCTATATGATCATTTTTCTCTGATTTTGTTTCAAACATGAAAAATAAGCCTTATCATTTTCTATGAATTTGTCAGTTCGACATGACTTTTTATCGAGTCTGGTACATATATAGATGTGAAGATTCCTTGCACTCATCAACAAATAATTGCATGAGCTGTTTCTCAATTTTGGCGGAGGCAATTTGACTTTGCCCTTCATGATACATTACATTATGTTTATTCATCCAAATTGTAGAATATACATCCGAAATACCAACATCAGAAGTTGCATCAACCACTCTACCAACAGTTACCTCCCAAGAAACATTTGAAACAACCGAACAGTCTAGATCTTCTGAAGCAACTATTACCACTATAGAGACAGTCACACAGGAAACAGATTACCTTTCATCCACTTTGGATTCTGGTACTGGGCTAACACAAACATCTGAATATGCAACATCCACTATTGAAACTGTTACCTCTACTGATTTGCCAACAGCTCCTTTCTCAACAGGTAAATAAGTTTTTCCATGCAGATGTTGGGTTTTATTTTCTTTTGCAAAATAACATCAACAGTCTGTTTACCTACTCTTAGCACACTGACATTTACATTGACTTCATACATACAATACAAGTGTTCCTCAATTGCAATTCCTCATTTTTGCCAGATTTTCTTTCAAACATGAGAAATAAGCTTTATCATTTTCTATGAATATGTCAGTTCGACATGACTTTTTATCAAGTGTGTTATATTTATACATGTGAAGATTCCTAGCAATCCGCAACAAAAAAAATCCATGAGCTATTTCCTGATTCTGGCTGAAGCAATTTTACTTTGCCCTTCATGATATATTACATTATGTTTATTCATCCAAATTGTAGAATATACATCTGAAATACCAACATCAGAAGTTGCATCGACCACTTTACCAACAGTTACCTCAGAAAAAACATTTGAAACAACAGAACAGTCTAGATCTTCTGAAGCAACTATTACCGCTATAGAGACAGTCACACAGGAAACAGATTACATTTCATCCACTTTAGATTCTGGTACTGGGCTAACGCAAACATCTGAACATGCAACATCCACTATTGAAACTGTTGACTCTACTGATTTGTCAACAGCTCCTTTCTCAACAGGTAAATAAGTTTTTCCATGCAGATGTTTGGTTTTATTTTCTTTTGCAAAATAACACCAACAGTCTGTTTACCTACTCTTAGCACACTGACATTTACATTGACTTCATACATACAATACAAGTGTTCCTCAATTGCAACAATTTCCAGCAACATATATTTTGTTCTCATTATTGTTTTCTCCATCTAATTTACATGATTCCAACTCAATTCATGTTAGTGATGAATTTATATGATCACTGTTCTCTGATATTGTTTCAAACATGAAAAATAAGCCTCATCATTTTCTATGAATATGTCAGTTCGACATGACTTTTTATCAAGTCTGGTACATATATAGATGTGAAGATTTCTTGCATTCATCAACAAATAATTTCATGAGTTGTTTCCTGATTCAGGCTGAAGCAATTTGATTTTCCCCTTCATGATACATTACATTATGTTTATTCATCCAAATTGTAGAACATACATCTGAAATACCAACATCAGAAGTTGCATCAACCACTCTACCAACAGTTACCTCCCAAGAAACATTTGAAACAACTGAACAGTCTAGATCTTCTGAAGCAAGTATTACCACAATAGAAACAGTCACACAGGAAACAGATTACCGTTCATCCACTTTGGATTCTGGTACTGGGATAACACAAACATCTGAATATGCAACATCCACTATTGAATCTGTTACCTCTACTGATTTGCCAACTGCTCCTATCTCAACAGGTGAATAAGTTTTTCCATGCAGATGTTTGGTCGTATTGTCTTTTGCAAAACAACATCAACAGTCTGTTTATCTACTCTTAGTACACTGACATTTACATTGACTTCATACATACAATACAAGTGTTTCTCAATTGCAACAATTTCCATCAACATATTTTGTTCTCATTATTGTTTTCTCCATCTAATTTACATGATGCCAAATCAGTACATGTTAGTGATGAATCTATATGATCATTTTTCTCTGATTTTGTTTCACACATGAAAAATAAGCCTCATCATTTTCTATGAATATGTCAGTTCGACATGATTTTTATCAAGTGTGTTACATATATACATGTGAAGATTCCTAACTATCCGCAACCAACAATTCCATGAGCTGTTTCCTGATTCTGGCTGAAGCAATTTGACTTTGCCCTTCATGATACATTACATTATGTTTATTCATCCAAATTGTAGAATATACATCCGAAATACCAATATCAGAAGTTGCATCAAGCACTCTACCAACAGTTAACTCCCAAGAAACATTTGAAACAACCGAACAGTCTAGATCTTTTGAAGCAAGTATTACCACAATAGAAACAGTCACACAGGAAACAGATTACCTTTCATCCACTTTGGATTCTGGTACTGGGCTAATGCAAACATCTGAATATGCAACATCCACTATTGAAACTGTTGCCTCTACTGATTTGCCAACAGCTCCTTTCTCAACAGGTAAATAAGTTTTTCCATGCAGATGTTTGGTTTTATTTTCTTTTGCAAAACAACACCAACAGTCTGTTTACCTACTCTTAGCACACTGACATTTACATTGACTTCATACATACAATACAAGTGTTCCTCAATTGCAACAATTTCCAGCAACATATATTTTGTTCTCATTATTGTTTTCTCCATCTAATTTACATGATGCCAAATCAGTACATGTTAGTGATGAATCTATATGATCATTTTTCTCTGATTTTGTTTCACACATGAAAAATAAGCCTCATCATTTTCTATGAATATGTCAGTTCGACATGATTTTTATCAAGTGTGTTACATATATACATGTGAAGATTCCTAGCTATCCGCAACCAAAAAATCCATGAGCTATTTCATGTTTTTGGCTGAAGCAATTTGACTTTGCACTTCATGATACATTACATTATGTTTATTCATCCAAATTGTAGAATATACCTCTGAAATACCAACATCAGAAGTTGCATCAACCACTCTACCAACAGTTACCTCCCAAGAAACATTTGAAACAACTGAACAGTCTAGATCTTCTGAAGCAAGTATTACCACAATAGAAACAGTCACACAGGAAACAGATTATCTTTCATCCACTTTGGATTCTGGTACTGGGATAACACAAACATCTGAATATGCAACATCCACTATTGAAACTGTTACCTCTACTGATTTGCCAACAGCTTCTATCTCAACAGGTGAATATGTTTTTCCATGCAGATGTTTGGTTGTATTGTCTTTTGGAAAACAACATCAACAGTCTGTTTATCTACTCTTAG